ACACAATGTTTTCCAATAATCCTAAAATATTATAGTTTATTATTTCATCAAATAAAATCTCATACCTTTGCATTTTCTCAGGTTGATTCTCTAGAAAAACATTGATGTTTAAGCTAACAAAGAAGCTGTGATTCCTGGATAATGCCTTGGATTAGTTAAGCAATTCTACACTTTTAGCCCTCTGTAGTTTTCTGAACATTTTTCACATATAGAATATGCTATATGTTAACTTGATACATAAGTGGGGGATGGGCAGGCATATTTGTAGGTTTGTTTTAGCAGCTGAACTGTATTTTGCATTGCTTCTAGTGGAAGTATAGCTATGTAAAGGAGCTATAATGCTCAACGACTCAGAAATTTTGTACTTAATCTATGAGCAATTCAGTGATTATTACCAAGCTGAGCTGCTGGTAACATCATCACAGCTATTAGAGACTGATTTTCTCAATTTCAAGGCATGTTCCATTCCTCATGATAGGATGTGATTTTTTCCTAATTTCTTGGCAGTATTTTTAAGAGAATGTATTCTTCTCAATGGGAAGCGACTCTATTTATTTGTTTGTTTGTTTGGCTGCACCGGGTCTTAGTTGTGGCATGCAGGATCTTTAGTTGCAGCATGTGAACTCTTAGTTGCGGCATGTGGGATCTAGTTCCCTGACCAGGGATCAAACCCGGGCCCCCTGCATTGGGAGCATGGAGTCTTAGCCACTGGACCACCAGGGAAGTCCCTGCTTTCTTTCTCTTGAACTTGCCTCTTTGCCATTTGGTATGCTGTCTCTTACATCAGTGCCATGTCATCAGCCCCATGATGCCAGTTAAGCCGATCACTTTATGAATTAATCATCTACCAGCTGTAGAAAGTACCATCAGCCTTCTTGTATTCAAAGCTAACAGTATTGGTAACAGAGAGTTTTATAAACTCTGATGAATCTACTTTTCTTGAACATTCAGATTACTGTTGATCAAAATGTTTGTAATTCCTCACTTCCTTGGAAGATGAATGCAAGTTTAAAGGGACATTTTCAAATTTTGTAGCAAAGTGATAAAGGGAAGTTGGCTTTTTAAACCATGTTTACTAAGCACAAGTTGTGTGAAGAAAGAAAGGACTTATTCCCTATAAAACCCTGGGCTGTTGGGGGTTTGGGAGTCTGCTTAGGTTCCCATAGGACTTGATGCTTGCCTTTGTCAGTTGCTCAACGGGTACATTCATTCATCTAACAAATACTTCTTGAGTGCCTACTGTGTGCCAGGCTAAGTGCCGGGGATATAACAGTGATCAAAACTCTTTACCGCATGGAGCTTGTGGGTACAGTGAGTGATAGGGGGAGAGACAGACAGCAATCAGACAAACACATTATTTTGGGTACTCATATATGCTCTGAAGGAGAACAAAAAGCATAATAAATGGATAGAATGTGGCTGGGGAAGAGAGCTGCTGTTTTAGACAAACTGACCTGGAAAGTTCTCTCTGATGAGGTGACATTTGGGCAGAGATCTAGAGGAGATGAGGGAAAGAACTAGGCAGACATCTTAGAAAAAGTGTACCACGTAAAAGGAAGGTCTCTCTGAGGTAGTGATGTATTGTACATATCTTTAGTTTTCACTTTGGCCTTGTGCTGAATGTAGAGACCTTTATTGCAGATATTTGTGGAATACATACAGGTAGTCAGCCTTTTTCACTGCAGGTCTACTTCGGGTGTTCTCTGCAACCCTGGTACTTGGAGAGTGAGCTATGGAGAATGTAGAAATGGGACCAGGATGCAGATTATTTAAGCAAAAATCAACTCTTTGTTTACCAAAGCCTAGGTTAGTAGTGGACTTTCTTCTGCATGAAAAGATACCCTTATAACAGGTATAACAAGAAACAGTATTATCAACTAAACCTGTTTTGTTTTGTTGTTGTAAATTTATTTTATTTTTGGCTGCATTGGGTCTTCATTGCTATGTGCGGGCTTTCTCTAGTTGCCACAAGCGGGGGCTACTCTATTGCGGTGTGCGGGCTTCTCATTGCAGTGGCTTCTCTTGTTGTGGAGCACAGGCTCTAGGCGTGTGGGCTTCAGTAGTTGTGGCTTGCAGGCTCAGTAGTTGTGGTGCACGGGCTTAGTTGCTCCACAGCACGTGGGATCTTCCCGGACCAGGGCTCGAACCTGTGTCCCCTGCATTGGCAGACGGATTCTTAACCACTGGGCCACCAGGGAAGTCCAGTTTGTGTCACATTTAAATGCATTTTATTAATCAAAAAACATTTTATATATGTGAAAAATACATGTGAATATGGGATGTTATTTATTCAGGTCACAGATGATGGTTGCATGACAACATCTAGCACTGTGTAGAAAATACTGAACTCAATAAGTACTAGCATCAAAACAAGATTCATTATAAAAACCTTAATATTTTTTTCAATAAAGGAATATTTACAATATCAGATCAGTCCTTTACAACTATGTTTTAGCTTCCAGTCTCTAGTCATTCATTCATCCAATATTTATTGAATGCTTTCTGCATGCCAAGTTCTGTTCTAGGAGTTCCAGATTGTCAAAGCCAGTAAAACACTTGTAGTTGATCACATTAGGTTCATTACTCAATGCAACAAGAAAGAGTGTACACCATGAGGAACAGTAGGGCCTCTTAGGAAGCGAGTGTTAGAAAAGTCTTGTAAGATTTGGGCTTGAGTTAGGTGATTTGTGGAAGGGTTTAAGGAGTAGGGCCTTGCTGGGTGCTGTTAGCAGATGGGGGTAATTTTATGAGTAAGCATGTTAGTAAATCTTATCCAGGAAGCCAACATGTCATTGGTCAAGAGGCAATAGTCACCCAAATCAGCCAGAATGTAGATGTTGGTCATTATTGTGATTTGGACAATATTTATATTCTGTCTGTGTTCAAATGTGATTACAGAGTGTTTTTGTCTCGATATATCGAGGTCACACAGTGGCCTTGTTTGATGTTGCTGTTCTGCGAAATTGTTCATGTTCTACAGAGTGCCGGTGCGTAGCTGTGAGTGCTGGGCCAGCTCTTGAATGTCAGGGGCTGCTTTGCTTTTTCTCAAGCTATAGCTATCAATAAATAAATAAAAATCCCTGCCCACATAGAGCTTAAATTCTAGTGTGAAGAGAGAGACAGTAAACATAATAAATTTATCATGTAAGTTAAAAGGTGATTAGTACTATGGGGACGTGCACAGGATTGGGGGGAATGTGTTCAAGAGAGAGGAAGTGGCAAGGTAAATCAAGGTTGGTCTCACTGAGAAGGTAACAGACAGGTAAGAAGCTGGATCGAGGAGTAGGACTTTATATCCCCACCATTGTAGGAGCTTCTTTACTTTCAGAGATAAAGGAATCGACTGGAGAGTTTGAACAAAACAATGATTTGATTTGACTTATTTTCCAGTAGAGCTACTTGGGCCATTGTGTTGAGACTAGACTGCAGGTCAAGGGGAGAAGAAGCCGGGAGACCAATTAAAGGCTTGCAGAGTGGTCACAGTGGAGGGGCTAAGAAGTGATGTGGTTCTGAATGTATCTGAAAGTGGAGCTAGTAAACGGTGCTTGATAGATTGGATGTGGCTTGTGAAAAAGAGAAGAGTGAAGGATGAATCCAAGATTTCGGTTCTGGTTGATCAAAACGATTTTGTTGCCCTTTCCTGAGATGAGGAAGACTTCAGGAGGAGCAGGTTTGAGGTGAGGGCAGGTCAGGAATTCAGTCTTGGATGTAAGTTTGAAATATGCTAGACACCCAGGAGGAGATATCAAGTGGGCAGTTGGATATATGGGACAGGTTTAGGCTAGATATGGGAATTTTCAGTGAATGGGTTATATTAAAACCACAAGACTAAATGAGATCACCTAGAGAGTGAGCATAAATAAAGTTCCAAACACCGAGTGCTGGAACACTCCAACACAGAGGGCTCAGGGAGAAGGTGAGCCCGAGAAGGAATGGCGAGCGAGGTAGGGAGAGAATCACTCATTTCAAAAGATTTCTTGAGTACCAGGCACCAGCGTAGATACTGGGGTTGCAAACATTGTGGGGCCACTCACTGAGGTAGGGGACATGGGAGGAAGCAGATTTAAAGGGAAGGTTAATGAGTTTGGTTTTAGACATTTTGAATTGCAGGTTGTCCTGTGGGACAACCAGCAGGAAGTTGGAAATTTTGGTCTGGAGCCTAGGGAATTCAGGACCAGAAAGAGTCATGACCATGTGAATATATTTAGCTTTTATTTTTTTGAATATTTATTTAATCCTTAGTAAATGGCCACATTCAATATCATAAATATACTCTGGAGAAGGTGATAGTGATATTTAAAACCATGTAAAATATTACCCCAAAAAACTGTGACACAGGCTGGCCACTGCTTATATTTAGTTTCCCTAAGGGGTTCCTGTCTTATACTTAATTGGTCTTCATTTGCTGAAAATCTTTTGAAAAGTTCTTAGTTAATATCCATTAGAAATAGAGCTTATCAGCCACATAGCACAGGGAGATCAGCTCGCTGCTTTGCGACTACCTAGAGGGATGGGATAGCGAGGGTGGAGGGAGACACAAGAGGGAGGAGGTATGGGGATATATGTATATGTATAGCTGATTCACTTTGTTATAAAGCAGAAACTAACACACCATTGTAAAGCAATTATACTCCAATAAAGATGTTAAAAAAAAAGAGTTTCTCCTTTACACATACTTATATATAAATTTACTTGGACTAATTAATAAAAAGAAAAGCATATATATTTAAAAAAAGAAATAGAGCTTATAGCTTGTAAACATTCTGAATAAGATCGTATTTTAAAAGGGAGGGTATTTTAATATGCCTATGTTTTAATATGTTAGTTTCTTTTCTATAGTGGTCAGTTAGAGTGACCTTATTTACAAAACCTCCTTTGCTGTCACAAAAGGTGTGAAAGGAAACTGTCTTGTTTTAGCTTGTGAGTTTTTCTAAACACTTAAATATCCTCTTGCAGATGATTGTTACATTACCTTTCTCTTCTGTGGTTTGTCATTACAGCCACTGTATGATGCCGCTTACCTTACAATGTACAATATCTGCTTCACATCCTTGCCCATCCTGGCCTACAGTCTACTGGAACAGCACATCAACATTGACACTCTGACCTCAGATCCCCGATTATATATGTAAGTTGAACATATGTAAGTTAACCCCCCGCCCCAGACTTTCAAAATTGTGGATTTCATTTTATCTACAGGTAGGAAGGACACAGAACTGCCCTCCTGGTTTGATTACATGGTTCTGTTCTGCATTTTTAGCTACTTAAACCAAACCATCCAGCTGGAAAATGATGTATTTCCTAGGTATTGATATATGTCCTGTAGTTGAATGGGTATGAATTATTTAGTTCAAAATCAGTAATTCCTAAAACTTTGCCCACATTGTCATAGAGTTCTAGAGTCTTGGATGGAGACACAATAGTTTAACTACCTGCCACCCCCCACCTCCCCCAAGAAGGGCCACACAAAGATCTCTTGTAGTTTAGAATATTGATCCCTCCCTGTAATGGATTGAACTGATGATGTTATGTTAGGCTTTCTCTTGTAAACTGCCCCTGAAATATAGCCTCCGGAGTGCTTTGTTAGCTGCATTCTAAAATGGCATTGTTGAAGAAAACAATTAAGTCATCAAGCCATTGTATTCATTTTGTGTTAGTTGGAAATAGATGCTTTTCTCTATGGGTGGGGGACTTGGCACTAGCCCCAGTTGCTTAACCTTTGATTAAATTGGATTTTTATAAGTGAAGCTTACAGCTAAAGATAAAGATATTAATTTACAGCAGGTTGTAAGCGTTGCTAAATAGTGGGTAGCAAGTGCAATAGAGAGACTTGGGTGTGATTCATTGGTGCGAAGTGAAGGTGCACAAATTTAAAGGATGACTTTAACCAGTATGACTCATGAAACTCACATCTAGGAATTGTTAGACTTAACCAGGTTTATAAAATTAGTTGTCATTTTAAAGGTATTTATTATAAAAAGTTTAAAACATGCAAAGAGTATAGCAAAAGTACTATTTATATAGTGAACTTCCCTGTCCTTACCACTCAGCTTCAACAATTATCAATTCAGGGCCAATCCTGCTTCATTAATAACCTTGTCTTATCTATCAAGGACTTATTTTGAAGCAAATATCGAACTATATAAAATAGTTATTTCAGCATGTATCTTTTACATGTACTGTTATAACAGTACACTATCATACCTAAAAATTTAACAAGTCATATCATCAAATATCCAGTCAGTGCTCAAATTTTTCCAGTTGACTCAATTTCTTTTTATGGCATGCTTGTTTGAAACAGTATATAAGGCCCATATACTTCAGTTGGTTAATATGCTTCTTGAGACTCTCTTAATCTGTAGGTTAACTTGGCAATTTATTTGTTAACGAAACCAGATAATTTATCTTGTAGCATTTCCCCCAATCTAGAGTTTGCTGATTGCCTCCTCATGGCGGTAACATATTCTGGTTTTCCCTGTATTTCTTGCAAAGTGTATTGTTAGATCTAAAGGGGAATCGTAGAAATCTTGGTAGAAATCTTCCAGAGCATCAGCTCTCACACCCTCTTTTTTTTAAAAGAATGAGGACCCAGGGCCCAGAAATGACTTGCCTAAGGACACAGCATGTAACAAGAGGCCAGAGCAAGATCAGATTTCTATCCTCCTGATGACCGGCCCTGTGCTCTTTTCCACAGGCTGGTGGTTTTCAAAGATTGAGTAGCAGTGTTCTGTTTTCAGACAACAACTAAAGTGAAGACCAGTAGTGCAGTTACTCTGGTTGAAGAGGGCTTTGGGTGGCAGTGAGCAGAATGCCTCCCGTTCGGTCCCACCAAGAGCTCTAGCTAATCGCCTGCACTCTGATCCCAGCTCTGCCACTGACTCTGTGGCCTTGCTCAGGTTACTTGACTGAGATGGGCCTCAGTTTCCTCTTCAGTAACAATAGATCCAATCACAATGTTTTGGGGGAGGATTAAATGAGTGACTACATGTAAAAACTTACAGTGGTGCCTGGCACATAGTAAGTTTTCAATAGATGGTAGCTATTAATCTTATTATTCTAACACCCTTCTCCACATAACTTCAGGGCTATGCTGAGCAATTTCTTTTTGTTTGTTTGTTTTTGGGTTTTTTTGGTTGGTTTTTGTGTGTGTGTGTGTGGTACGCAGGCCTCTCACTGTTGTGGCCTCTCCCGTTGTGGAGCACAGGCTCCGGACGCGCAGGCTCAGCGGCCATGGCTCACGGGCCCAGCCGCTCCGCAGCATGTGGGATCTTCCCGGACCGGGGCACAAACCCGTGTCCCCTGCATCGGCAGGTGGACTCTCCACCACTGCGCCACCAGGGAAGCCCTGAGCACTTTCATACATTAAGAATGTTGAAAACTTGAAGCAAGCCGTTGAGTACAAATTATTAAGGGTTTCCATGAAGTTTTAGTTACCGCATGCAGGTGTAGGTCATGAATTTTTAAGCAATGTTGCATAGAGGGCATACTTGCCACATACGATGGAGAAATGAAAGCCATAGCATACCTATCACCCAGCCCAAAATGCAGCTTCCTGCCTGCCCGCTCTGATGAGACTGTGCTCTCAGCCTGTCACTGTATTGGAGATTACTCTGTTACTCTGAGCATTCCTTTGTAAATGTGAAGCTCTAGTCTTCATATGTGTCTCTCTCTGCATTTGTACCACTTAATGTTACTTGTGGCCTTGTGTAGCATATTAATATCACCTTCGGGGACTTAGTGACACAGGCGTTTACCAAAAGTTTTGATATGAAATGTGACATAATTGGATCTTTTCATATTTTTTGAGAGAAATTTGAAAAGTAAACTGTAGTTCTTTTCTAGAGGGTAGAGGCATAGTCTGTTTCTTATACAACTTTAAAAGGCAAAAGAAAGGTCCTGGTACACCTACTGTCTCCCATTGTATGGAGGTGCTCAGGCCTGTGCTGCTGGTCAACCGCTCCCCTCGCCAATCTTCACTCCCTCGTGTTGCCCCTCACGTTGGCTATCATATTCTGAGTTAACAACAGGTTCATCATTCACCTGAGCGCAGCTAGAAAACCTCAACTATAACCCAACACACCATGACTCCCCTTCCTTTCTTCCCATGGCATGTAATGTAAATCCAGTGACTGGCTGGAAAGACAGGAACCACTTCCTGCCTCAGCCCAAGTCAGTGACTCTCAAAAGCCTCATTGGCTGGCAGTTGCTGGGCCCTCCTTGCAAGGATCTTTAAGGGAGGTGCCTTCCCTGTGGCTCCCAGTTGCCTTGGGAACACGACTTACTGGCTGTGGGGAGAGCTTGTTTCTGGGAAGCAGCTATACCTCTTTCCCCCTGCAGTTTTCCCAAGGCAAACAGCAGCGTATTGCTTTATGCATCTCCCTACATTGCTGATTTCTGTGTGCACCTGGAAATCCTAGTAGGTAAAAGTTGCATAATTGCTATTTTTTCAGGAAACCCTACAGCACTCCATACCAACTGAACAAGGATCAGTTGTATTTACATCACAAAGGTCTTTCTTATTCATTACAGCCCAGTGACATTCTTGGTAGTATTGGCAACAGGTGTGCTATTTCAGTGATTACATACCTTTTGATAAATGTTAAGAGGAATTTGAAATAGAAGCTAAAAGAATTCCATGCACAGACCCATCTTCTTTTTGCCCCATTAGAGTTGTTAGCCTTCTTCAACATTCTGACTTGTACCCAGAAGACTGCTATTTTTGACAGATGTTAAACTTTTGATCTGGCCACTTGCCATTTATCAAAGCATGGCTGTACAGCTTCAAACATGTTATTTGACTCAATTTTTAAAATATAAAGGCTACCCCAAGACCTAAGAAAGGTTAAATTCCCAGGCAGAAATCTTGATTAAACAAAATATTTTAACAATCATAGTTGCAAAGCCATGGTAGCTTGGTTGAGAGCATGTGATTTAAAGTCACATCAGTCTAGGATTGTATACTAGCTCTGTCCCTTACTAACTGAGTGAACTCTGGCATACTGCTGTACTAGTGGTTCCCAAACTTTACTGCACATTACAATTACCTGGGGAGTTTTAAAATTATCCTGGTTGCCCAGGTTACACCTCATGCCAGTTAAATCAGAATGAGGGTGGGAGCCAGACATCAATGTTTTTAAAGATCCCCTGGTGAATCTAATGTGCATCAAAGTTTGGAAACCATTATGGTACACCTTTGTGAGGCTCATTATTTGTAAATGGTAGTGATAAGAATACCTATCTCATGTGGGTTTTGTGTATACAAAAATGGACAATATAAAACTCTTAACCCACTTTTATAAGCGTATATATAATAAGTACTCAGTAAATGAGATCTAATTATTATTGATGATATTATTATTGTCAGTGGCCAGAATTTTAACTTAGAAGCACTTTGACAGTTTACTGCAACACCTCAGACAGGAGGTGATTGCACAAAGACAAACCTGCAGCTTGGTCTGGGCTTTTATCAAAAGCTTACCAGTCCCTCAGGGATAGCTCCCTTCATTCTAATAGGGTCAAACCCCATGCGCACCTTTGGCGTTTCACTGTATCTTTAAATTAACAGCCTACAGAGATTCATTAACTTGTGTTTCTTCCCATTTCTCAATAGGAAAATTTCTGGAAATGCCATGCTACAGTTGGGCCCCTTCTTATATTGGACATTTCTGGCTGCATTTGAAGGAACAGTGTTCTTCTTTGGGACTTATTTTCTTTTTCAGACTTCATCCTTAGAAGAAAATGCAAAGGTAAAAAAGAAAAACATCATTACATCTTTTAGTATTACAAGCATGGCTTAATTTTTTCCATAGGCACTGGATCTATCATACACATACTCTAGCTGTAATCATTTTGCAAATTATTTTTCTAAAGGTATGGTATTTAGTTCTCACAGTGTCCTTAGAACAATAGAAGTGTTGAAGTGAGAAATCACTTCCTGCATGCACGGCTAACTAGACAGCTTATGTGCAAACCTCTGGAAGCTTAACTTGGCTGTAATTTTACTAGATGAACAGAGTTCTTGGGATTTCAGACTTTAGACCCATACACTTTGATGTGAGCAAGGCTTTTCCTGTTTTAAAAGAAGTGTCTGTCCCTACTCAGTTCTTACTCATAGTGGCCTTCCATGCTTAGAGTGGAAGGGGGTAGCTGCCGTATGTTTGCAGTATTTGCCCAATAATTAGGGAATTCCCTTCTCTTCCTCCTTCCTTTCCACATGGGAGCATAGTGTTTTCCAGAAAGGCTACACAGATCCTGCCAGTATCTTCCCAGCCAGCGACTACATAGGTCAGCACCTGCATTGGGGTGATTTTGCCCTGGCTGTGCTCTAGGAGAGAATTGCCAATGGGGTGAGGTCTTCCGGCAGCCACACAGTGGAAAATCAAACCCACCACCTTGCTTGCTGCTTTCACTATGTTCTTTGCTATTTCTGGGCTTCCTCTTTTATGGTCATTCATTGGTTATAATCATATGAAGCAAAGCAAAGGTTCAAAAAGACTTTATGAGTACACTGACTATGTCTAGAGCCGAGACAGTCAACATCTGTTACAGAAGTGATAGGCTCAGTGAATTTGAATGATACTTTGAAATTAGGTACTACAATTAGAACCTCTCTAATTTGGACTCACAGAAATCAGTTTAGTATGAATCCATTAAAATTATTAATCACTGAGTAACTGCTGAGGAAATACAGATCTAGTACTTTAGAGTAGACACATGTAGCATTTGCCAGGGAGACGGCCCTACTAAATCTCTCTGTGCATCCTCGGGCCAGTCCCTTCAGTTTTCCAAGTCACCTTTACCCAACAGTAAGAAGAAGAAATTCGACTTTATGATTTCTCAGGTCCCTTCAGCTTTGTGACTGATTCTGTAACTCCAGCTTTTTATTTTGTATTTATTTGCCACATAAATTGTATAGAGCTGACTGTGCCCTCCTGCAATTCTATTGACATGGTTCATTTGCTCAGCAGAGTCTGCTGGTGGTGCATGGGGAGCCTCAACCCACCCTGTGTCCAAGTCATCACTCATTTTGAGTTCATGAAGTCCAAATGAATTAGATTCTATTGTATATTGTTTGCTAAAATTACAATAAGTATAAGGACTACTATCAGCAATTAAATATAACACCATGTACGATTTGATCAAATCCTTTTTTTGCTATTAACCTTAATTTTTGTTTTTATTTTTTTAAAACCTTTTACATTTCATTTTCTGTTTTAATGTTATGCATTCAGATCTTGACAGCGTTTGGTAAGCATATGTGCCATTCATTGCCATCGTTTGGGTTTATATACATGGTATCTGCTTTTCTTTGATGTGCACATTCTGACAACTCTAATATTTACAGCCACAAAATTAGACTCTATTTTATTTGTTTTTTATTGAGATATAATTGACATATAACATTATATTAGTTTCAGGTATATAACATAAGGATTCGATATTTCTATGTACTGAATGGTCACCAAAGTAAGTCTAGTTACCCTCTGTCATCATATACTCTATTTTTAAAATGTGAGTTCATTTGTCTGCAAATTAGTCTTTATTTATACATAGAGATCTTTAGATCTATATTATAGGAAAAGCCTATATCAAACTCTTTAGATACAGGAGCCATCCAAATGAGTTGTTTTTATGAACGTTACTGTTAGTGGAATAGGGTTTTTCCTGCCTATATCACACCAGTGTGTTCCCTGTTTTATGCTTCATGGAATCACGAAATAAACCCTACCAACCACGCATGTGGTATACCTCTCCAAGAAAATTTAGGCTCACAGTAAAAGCCAGCATTTTGGCCTGATCTTTTGAGCAGATATTTCCCTAAACAATTTATACAAAAATCTTTGGCAATTACACTCAAGATTAAACTTGGCTGTTTATTTTTTTAAGCAAGCTTGTATATTCATGGTACACGTAATTGTTGAATGTTTTTCAGGTATATGGAAACTGGACTTTTGGAACCATTGTTTTTACAGTCTTAGTATTCACCGTAACTCTGAAGGTTAGATTTTTATTTATTCAAATATATTTAACACCATTTTTATGATACTTTCTGGTCTTATATCTTTTTTGTCTTCTAATCTTTATTTTTACTGCGAGTTGTTATTCAAGTCTGAATGCTTACTAAAGTTATGTGTGATATTAGAGATTTGGACATTTATATACTATTTGTGATCCATTTTTTCCAGTATATTGCCTATCCTCTTTTTTTTTAATACACCATACTTATATTGGAAATCTGTTCCTTCTTTCCTGCTATTTTTGAGATGTTAAGTGGTATATAAATGGGCTGTTTGTATGTGTGTGTTTCCATGTTAAGTACTTGAATATTTTTTAAGTTATATATCTGTTTAAGAATGCCAGTCCTTAAAGGAATTTGGGTACTTAAGACAGTTGAATATAGGTGTCCATGAGCAAGATATGTGTGCGAAAGAGCTTGGTAGTGATGACGTTTTGTATAATGTATTCATCACTGAAATTTACCCGTATGTGTGATGAAATGCATAAGAATATACAGCAGGTAACATACAACAAAGGCAGTTTTGACAAAATCATTGGCATTAACCTGCAGCCATGTAATAATGCTGCGTGCTGAATACTACCCTTGAGGTTCATGAGTTGGGACTCCCTTATAGTTGAAGGTATAATTAAAATTATTTTGATCATTCCAGTAATAAACACCTCACATGGGGTTCAGGAATGAGTACCTTTAAATGAATTCCAGTATGCCCAGTGGCCAGAATTAGAATTCAGAAGTATAAATGACAAAGGACCTCTAATCATTTCCCCTCTGAATTTTTATACCTGCTTCATTTCTCGTACCGAATACAACTAACATGTTTGCATTATTCATCTACTATTTCAGTAATATTTTAGGACTGCAAAAGAAAATGTTACAATTCATCTCAGTTTAGCCACTTACTATCTGGATGTCCTTGGGCAAGTGACCTCGTTTCTCAGTACTTACATTTCCTCTTCTATAAAATGGAGATAAAAGTACCACCCACCTCCCTTAGGATTTTTTTGGTGAGAAGTCAATTAGTGAATACATATAAAGCAGTTAGAATGGGGTCTGGCACATAGAATGTGCTCAGTACAATAGATGCTAGTTGTTATTTACTATTATGTCTCATAGGATCATAATTTGAAAGAGAATCCTCCCCACCCTTTTTTACCCCTGGCCTTGCACATGGCCCCAGGGCTTCCAAGCACCCTTCATAGCTAAAGTTGGCCTTGCTGCAGCAACTTCCACCTGTCCCTCAAAATCCATCCACTCCCTCTTTTCTGCATGGGTATTACTGTGGCATGTTCCCTAGCAGCCAGAGGCTGGAAATTCAAGACAATGTTATCAGTATCCTGTTTATAAGTGAGCAACTGTTAACAGATTGCTGAGGAGCAGGGTGTCACAGCAAGTAACAAAACAAACACCACCTCCTCTTCAGAAATTAAATGCCCTGGATATTAGGCCATGTGGCCCAGAAATTTTAAGCAAGCAGAGTGGACCATACTTTTTATTTTTAGATTGCATTTGAAAATCCCAGGTGCCACAATCTGAAGAAACAAGCAGCCCTGGAAGAAACATGAGAGGATTAAAATCTAAGGCAACTGAAAATGTTATTAATTTAATGGAGTAGATACGGACTTTGCAATTGAAAAATTGCACACTACATAGACCCACAGTCCATGGGTCCATGATGCCTGACGTGTAGAGCTAGTTGCCTTTGCATTTAGTAACCCTCATCTGTTGTGTTTGAGCTCTCACGACTCCTTTGTGTAGTTTGTCTTCTCTTCCTAGCTACTCTCTCCCTCTCCTCCTGCTTTTCAGTATGCCTGCCTCCACCAGCCAGGCCTTCTCCTTTTGCCGTCAGCTCCCTGACCGCCACCACTTAAAGACGCGGGGCTCCAGTCTCTGGGATGTTACCATTACCTCATTCCTTGCCCTTCCTTCAGTAGTGAGGCATCTGCAGCTGTACTTGCTTGACCACACCTCCATGCCTGTACTCCTAGAGTCTAAATGCCTGAGGGCAGAGCTCTTTGAAAAGTCTGGGTTCTGTTCTTCTAGTGCCATTCTCTTCTGGTTGCCTGGCCCAAGCTAGATCCTCCCACAGGTATCATATTGTGTATAAGTTGTCAAATACCATCAGATACGGCCTGGTACAGTTTGTACTCATCATGAAATCTCTTGTGTTGTATCCTTTCAGCTCGCCTTGGATACTCGTTTCTGGACATGGATAAACCACTTTGTGATTTGGGGTTCTTTAGCGTTTTATGTATTTTTCTCATTCTTCTGGGGAGGAATTATATGGTAAGCTACTGTACGTGTGTAATACGTAAATAACAAAATACATATATAGGTACATTGTATATGCAAACATTAATTATACTTTCAAAGTTTTGATTATATAAGATGGCAAGTCTTCAATATTAATGGACTGGAAGTTACTTCTAGCCAGTAATGCTGCTATTTCAGGTAAGATTTCAAATGCAAGTATATAGACTGCACCAGTTACTCAAAAGACCTCCCTTCTGGTAGCCCCTGTCCAAATCTTCCGACCTGAAGGTGTGTAAACATCTCTCTGTGAAACGAAACTAATTTCTAGCATGACCTCCCATGTGATTTCCAGTAGAAATACTCATCCTATGAAGTTTCTACACAATATAGTGGCCAATAGATACAGTATTATCCATTTGGACCCTGTTCTCTCTTTATGGTATATTACTCTCCTTCTTGTCACTACAGATGTGCTCAAGAGATAGAATATATATCACTTAATACTCAGAGGGTTATATTTGAAATCACCGTCCCATTGTTTTGGGGGAGGTAAAGGTAGACTCTCTAGCTTGGATTTAAAGTTCATTCTGTTCATCTTGGTTCAGTAGATGTTTATTCAGAATCTGTTTTGTGTGAGGCACTCTATGGGATACAGAAATGAATAGCCTGTACCCCTGCCTCAAGGAGACTAGAGTCCAGTGAGGGGCACATAAGCTGTGATTGGGAGAGTTATAAGGAATGAAAATAAGTTAGATTTTCATCTCCTTTCCTTACTCCCAGAGGCCTATATTTTGTTTTTTAATATCACAGTTTTCATTAATTGGTGACTTCCCCTGACAAGGATGCCAGCAGCAGAGACCAGGACTAGAGTAAGCCATAGGGTAAGATTCTAGGAGTACATATTTTCACTGGTTTGAGCAAAATCATACGTACAAAACAGTCCATATTATCACAGAGATGTGGGGACCATGTTTATGTCCCTTGAGACTTAATTAGAAGAAACTCTTACTGTTTTGGAAAGCTTTTTAAAATAAAAGCCTCAAGAAATAAAAATACGGACAACCTAATCACTTATGGAAGTAGCAGCTTCAGAAAGTATAATTACAGCATTTATTTGACACCTATATAAATAATTATTGAAGCAGTGAAGCTGAAGGAAGTCTGTTTTCTTTAATAATATACAAATGAATCAAAGTTGATTAACCAAATGTAATACACAATTGTAAGGTCATAATTCTGTCTAGGAACCTGTGTAATCAGTATCTGAACTAATTATGCAAAATTTCCACAAGAATGAAATGTTTCTAGCAAACTAAAGTTTCTCACTCTTTCCAGACTATTCCTTATTAATTAACATAAATCCTTTAAATGATTTAAGATATTGTCACACCTGTTTCTATTCATTAGAGATGGTTACTAAAAATGAAATGTTAATAAATCTGTTTTATTTTGTTGCCTATAGTGCTATCCTTAAGTAGACCTGTGTGAGTTGAGCTACTACATGAATATAAAATTTATATTATAAAGCAACCAAGAAAATGTGACTAGAAACTGTAATACTTCAGCTGAATGCTGATTGCAGCTAATCTCCAGACATGCTCAGCCCTGAGGCATTGTGACTCACCCCTCTTTGGGGATGGGCAGTGAGAATGATGATTTCTGATCCCCAAACCCCATCCAGGAATAATAATTTTTGTTTTTTACTGCTCCTCTGCAAAACTCCATAGATGCCATCAAAATCAAAAAGAAAAATGTGGAGCTTTTAATCACAGAGAGGGTACTGTGCAAAAGAATACCCTGTGACGACTAGGTGTCAATTGTCTGCTGGACCCTTATTGTGCCTCAGTTAACTGCCTAGAAGATTAGTCAGGGTGCCCTTCTGAATTAGAGTGGGAATAGAGCTCTGTAGAAGTCTTTTCTTTATGGTAGGAACCCTAGAAAACTTGTTTAGCCTGGACCTCATAAGTTTCTCCACCTCACTATTGTGCTCACAATCTATTCCACATATATTCCACAGTCTAGTCCTCAGCTGTGTAGAGCCACGAGCTTGATTTTATCATGTTACATGAGAGTGCACAAACATGAATGTGTAAATGAGAAACCAGTTTATCTTCAGTGAGCACTATTTGTGATCTACTCAATGGCACCAACCACTTATCTACCTAAGGCTCCTCATCCAAGGACAGTCTGATGTATACCCCAACCTTGAGCAGCTGCTTTGTACTTCCTCCCCCTCAGCTTCAGACAACGTTCATCCTAGCCTAGTGAGGCTCTCTGTGGTTCAGCTCCGGCAGGGAAGGGAAACTGGCTGGACTTCTCAGTGGTCGCCTAACAGTTCAGTGGAAGACTGAACCCTGCAGAATGAGGCGTTCTCCTGGATTTCTGGACCCCAAGGCTTAATGTGTGATTAGCAATATTCTTCTGTCAACCTACTTGGCACACACTCGTACTCAATATATATTTGTGGATGAGAATGGTAGATTCCTCCCATTCGAGAGAGAAAATCTCTACAGTCCTTGTTATGTTTACATAGGGGTTTTGTGGGCGGGGGGTGGGGAGTGGTAATAAAAATGTCTTTTAAATTTCCAAATGTAGACCAGAAATCCTTTCTTATATTAAAAAAACAGCCAAGGAAGTAAAATGTTTGTTAGCATAAAAATTAATCATCATTTCTCGTGAATATCTCTGAAGCTCCAGCATTTTCTTTTTTTTTATTATTTTATTTTATTTTATTTATTTTTGGCTGCATTAGGTCTTCGTTGCTGCTGCGCGGGCTTTCTCTAGTTGTGGCGAGCGGGGGCTACTCTTCGTTGCGGCGCGTGGACTTCCCATTGCGGTGGCTTCTCTTGTCACGGAGCACGGGCTCTAGGCGCGTGGGCTTCAGTAGTTGTGGCGTGCGGGCTCAGGAGTTGTGGCTCACGGGCTCTAGAGTGCAGGCTCAGTAGTTGTGGTGCACAGGCTTAGTTGCTCTGCAGCATGTGGGATCTTCCCGGACCAGGGCTCAAACCCTTGTCCCCTGCATTGGCAGGCGGATTCTTAACCACTGCACCACCAGGGAAGCCCTCCAGCATTTTCTAATGCAAATAAATGTTCTCCAGTTGGCAGCTTTAAAATTGATCGCTTAGTTGTTTTCAAGTCAAATGCATTTTAGCATCTTTTTTCCCCTTTGATTATCATTCCTTTCCTTTCTAAACATTTAGTAAATGAAATCGGTTTACTACTTCTGGGTCGTCCTAAAGAAAATTATTTTTATTAATGTACGTAACAAGGATTCCTTTTAAATACAAAAGTTTCAGTTACACTACTGTTTCATATAACAGGAACTGATTTGTTTTTCCATTATGTATTTTCTTTCCACTCTAGGCCTTTTCTCAAACAACAGAGAATGTATTTTGTATTTGCTCAAATGCTGTCTTCTGTATCCACATGGTTGGCCATAGTTCTTCTAATATTTATCAGCCTTTTCCCTGAGATTCTCCTGATAGTATTAAAGAATGTAAGAAGAAGAAGTGCCAGGGTAAGAACTAAGTTTATATTACCACCTGATTTTTGGAAGGGGCTTCAATATCTGCCGTGAACTAAAAACTTTATTTAGAGAATTGCATTAGTTACAGCATGTTAAACCCCTCCTTACAGGTTCATCACTTAATTTCCTCTTCTGCATAAAAAGTATAGTAAAAAACTTCGTTATCCAATGCAGGTGGTAAGTAGATTCCTTAATAGTGTTCTATGTGACCTTTAGCAATCCATATGGAGTATCTCATATGCTCCATATGGAATTTTAAACAGAAAAAAATGATTTTTTTTTAATTTAACCTAGAATTTTCACACTGGGAATTTCCACACCAACATTCCAGCTTTAACCTTAGAAATTTCCCCATGGGTTGTTTGCAGACTTTTTTTTTTAGTTGATAATCCCAATTTGCCTCTTTCAAACCTTTCCCCTTCCTTTAATTATAGTGCTGCTTAATCTCTGTGTTGCTTCTAGCCCTGTCTGTCCAGCAGTATATTTGAACCAAAGAGAATTCCTTGGATGTGGTTTCTACATCCTTCCCCTCTTGAACACACTTGTAAAAATTCGAGATTGTTTTATGAGTGTGTTTTTATTTTTGCTGCTTATATGGTAAATTTTTTGCGGGAATGAGAAGTTATTACCCTCTGTCAGCCTAATCGCTTGGCCCTGCATTGTCTGATATCTTTTGAGCCTTTCTGAAAAAGCCTTTAAACTGAAAGGGATAGATTAGCCTTGAAAATAAAACTTCTGGCAAATTTTGACCAACATGTTAATTAAATATGTCATATTCCTACCAACACTAGCTCATTTTGCCAAACAAAACCCTGTTTCGATCGTATTGACACCAATTAGATCTTGTAGCCCCTCCAAGGCAATATTTTCAAGAAGTAGACTAAGCTATATCTACCTGATCTATTTCATTAAATTTGCCAACCATTTTAGCCACAAAACTGGCTTGCCTTGATTTTTTTTTTTTTTCCTATTGATTGATTCCAGTGGCTGGCATCATGCAGAAGAGGGAACTAAAATGATTATAGTGGGAAAATCTTCAGTGATTAGGTGTATAAGAGAGGAGCTTCAGCCCCACTCAAAAGCAGTAGATTATCAGTGGCATAAGCCACATTGATTCTTGCTATACACGGCCCAATCACTATATAGTTAGGTGGTCAGAACTGGCCTTAACTCCCTGCTTCTGCATGCCTTATGGGTGGAACTGCACACAGTAACGTTAACCTAAGACTGCCTTAATCTCTCTCTAATCCTTCCGGTAGACCCCCCACTAACTCCCTCCAGCCTGGTGTTTAGTCTTAGAATGGAAAAGTGGCATTTACTTGTCTGATTATACCTTTAATACCAGTTGAACAGGGATAAAACAGGTTCCTCCCAGAATGGCTCAAGTGGCAATTTGCATGAAGCCAAACAGAAAATGTCACAGTAAGAAATCTTTTGGTGCCTTGTTGTAATAGAGATTTGTCTAGGAAGGATCTCCTTATTTGGGAGTACACTTTGAGGAGTTCCTCGATGTTTTTCTTATTTGGGGTAATGGAGCTCATGCTAAATAATGGCTCACACCCAGCTTCATGCTGTAAAGATGAGACAAAAATCTCAGAAATCAAAACCTTCAAACATATCATCTTATTCTCTTCCTTAAGCCCTTTAAAAAAAAAATTAGACACTGGCTGGAGGTGACTTTTTTTTTTTTTGGTACGCGGGCCTCTCACTGTTGTGGCCTCTCCCGTTGCGGAGCACAGGCTCCGGACGCGCAGGCTCAGCGGCCATGGCTCACGGGCCCAGCCGCTCCGCGGCATGTGGGATCTTCCCGAACCGGGGCACGAACCCATGTCCCCTGCATCGGCAGGTGGACTCTCAACCACTGCGCCACCAGGGAAGCCCTGGAGGTGACTTTTATATAAATTAAATGGCTACTAAATATTTTAAATGTTTTTATATAAGTTAAATGGAGAGATGCTACAAGGTAGTCACAGATAAAGACTTAGAATATTTTCTTTCCGCACAAACAGCAGATTCCAAACTTCTGTTGAACGAAAGCATGGAGTTCTGGGACTGCGGCCCTTTTTACTTAGCAGTGTAGAATGTTTCCAGGGTTTAGCATGAGATTTGTTTGCCATGGATTATGTCCATGATAGGAGGAATTCCAGTGTCTGTACTGTAGCTTGGCATGCTGATATGCTAGAACAACCAGGAGAATTTCCATAATCACCTTCATTCGTTCACTCATTCATTCATTTATTCCTATCGTCATTGAACCAGTGAACATGTGTTGAACCACCTACTGATGAACATCTCTCTTTACATCCAGAGTCTGAAAGGCTAGATGGTTTTTCAGACTCTATGGGATTGTGAGACTTGCAGATGAGACAAAACATTGTGGGCACTCAGCAGCACTGCCTTTTTTTTTTTTTCTTCTTTTTTCTTTTTTTCCCCTTGTGAGAAAATGCAAGAGCAAAGTAGTGCATATGAATGCATAAAGGCCAACTGAAACATGGCAGCTATGACTACTCTGATAAGTCACATCTGTTTACACAAGGCTCTAGTTGGCCACATCAAAGAGGCAGAGGCCACTTCTAAGATAAAGGAGAAAAGAGTATTTTAATGACCAACAGTCTGGCATCCTGGGTGACTTCCTACTTTGTTCAATATCCCTTGCTAAGACATTGGCCTCATTGTAAAGAAACGCAAAGGACTCTTTTACACCGGGTCAGCCTCATACCTGACTGAATCCCTAATGGGGATTAGCTCTCGTGTGTCCCGAGCTAGAGGTAGAAGATCCCCCTGACTTCATCCAGTAAGCTAGGGATCCTTCGCATGTAGAGCCAGAAATGCCTGTGGTAAGTAGACTGCCAGTGCTATCCTCCTGTGAGTCTAGGCGGCTGCTTTAAGAAGGGGACTCAGCAGTGGATAGAGAAAATGTCTACGGCATTTGAGAAAGAAGCTAAACCATTTACATCCAACAATTATAGAAGCAGCCTTCTGTTGAATTCTATTCAGTTCAGCACACATTGCCCGAGGGTCGACTGTAAGCTAGCTGCTGTACTAGGTGTTAATCATTCAGAGGAGAAGCAGACGTAGCTCCCTCTCACAAGGAGCTCTCACTCTAGTTGAGTTATAGAGGGGACTTATTTGGAACACTTCTGTAAGCAGGTATAAACAGAACAGTAGATTCAATACTATGGCTTGTTGTAACACAGCTGGGCTATTTCAAGGTCCAAGTCACTACCTCCAGAAGCCTCCACCACAGCTGCGTTCTGTCATGATATTAGCATTAGAAAGAATTCTCTCTTCGAAAATAGGTTCCCCCACTCATTTAACTCAGGGGTAAATATTTTCACACCCTTATTTTCAGCAGTGTAGTTAATTCTTGAGCTAAAGTCCCATCATTAAGGATCATAGGACTTTTCTTTAGCTTATGAACTGACAAAGCCTCATCGCCATGCTGCTGACAAGCGTATGATGAAACTATCATGGAGCACTGAACAGTGGTACAGCAGATAACACTTTAAAGGAAATTTAAAGTTTAGGATTTTGGTATTTCAAAAAGCTGTGTCCCCTCTTAAGCACATTTCTTGGGCTGTCTCTTAATCAGTGAAATACACCTGGACCTTCTGGCCAACTGGTAAATACCAGTTCCCATTTCCAGCAGAGGAATTTTCCACATATCTTTACGTAAAGTTTTCCCATGTAAACCACCATGATCTAAAGGAGGCTTGACTTTGCCTAGTAGACATGGAAACACTATAATCTAATGAGAATGGACCCAGCAACATGGCCATACCTTGCATGTGAGGTCTGCACAAACAAGAGGAAACATTCCATTACGCAGGGAGCTCTTTCAGAGTGGAAGACAGGAAAAGGAAGAATGTCAGGTGTCTGAGCAAAATTCCCAGAGAAAGCACTTTGGAGAATACAATTTATCCTTATAATAACAATGGTGACAATGACGATTACTGTTGCAATCCTGACAGTGTCACATAGAACCAAGAGTTCTAAGGGTAACAGTCCTGTCATCTAAATTAGACAAATATAAAGTTGAATCCTAACATCGTGGCTGTTGAGGTGGACCTTTATGCATTGGCCTCTGACAAACTGCTACTTGAGCCAGAGTCAAAGCTCTCTAGATGACTGCAAAGGAATGTGGAAATTTCATACTGTTTTAATTATCTCCCATCCTTCTCACCCTCCCCCAACCAGTTGCTAGCTGTACCAGTTTTTTTATTGCTTTAATCTTTCCATGCTCTCTGCTGCCTTCTGTACTTTCATATTTCTTTTGTTTTCCTTTATAAAGTAACCTATTAACCCCTAAAATGTCTACTTCTTAGAAATACTTTTATCTCTGACCGTTGGGAACAAGGTTTTGAGCACACCAAAATGTGTTTCAGTTACAGTCTTAAATAGATGGGCTTGTATTTTAAACACAGGGTGGGTGATTTGGTATCATGTTAATCTTGTTGCAAGGTTTTTGCCCACAAAATAGAAGACAGAGCAATTTAAAATTTTTTTCTCAGAAACGAAATATTTATTTCTCTAGCTTTATCAATTGGTAATTTGCATGTTACCAACATGTCACCAACTGTATTTAAGGTAAAATGTGAACAGGAAAAAATGTAGTTATGTTAAAATATATATGAATAAATAAAAATATTTGCCTTTAGAAGTATAAATGTTTATTAGACTCTGTTAGATATATGTGTTACTTTAGCTGGTTTCTTTTTGTAAGCGTATTTCCATTAGCTGCTAAGGAGATAATATGGGTAATCTTGATTAGCAGAATCATTAAGCTCATCCGCATAGTTGACCACTCATCTTCTGTTTTGCTTGAGCAATACCAAAACCAAGTCTATAAATTAGCCTATAGCTTCAGGCACAGAATAAGAAAAAATAAAACTAGCCTCTTAGGTTTTCTGATTAAACTGTAAGTTATCGATTTTTACTTTTTCTAAGTGTTTTAAAGGAAAAATTCATAGCTCTTCAGCCAACGCTTTTAAAGAGTCTCTATAGGAGAAAAGGGGGAAACTGATCAAATTATGTTAGAATAAAGGAAGTTAAAGATTGGTTCAGAGGTAAACGGCACTGAAGTGTGGTTTCGCCAACAGTTTTTCCATTATGTTAGTTTTGATTAGGTTTTTAACCTGGAACTGCCCAAGGGCAGTCAGTCCCTTCATATTCCATCTATGCAATTGGATAGGGGAGACAGTTACTTCAGTATAGACTGGTGATGGACCCTCAGCCTAGCTCTCTGACCAGTGGATTTTGAACAGTGTAAGCTACTGAGTTAATGATTAGAGATGAGCTTTATTTCAATGAGAAACATATTTTTAAATTACTTTATTCAAAATAGTCAATTTTCCCATTAAGAAAAAAAATTTTAATTGCTATACAGAGAAATAGTAGTTTGCTCATATAATAGACTATTCCTAACTCTAGCTCTACTTTTACTTCAGAAAGTAACGTCTTCAAAACTAACGTCATTTCAACTTCGAATTCTCAAGGTTTCTTTTTAAATGTCTTACATTTCAGAGAATATTTACTTTTTTTTTTCTTTTTGGTTTCTGCATTTCTCTTTTTTCTACTGCAATTTTCCACCTTTTGTGCAATTGTGAACAAGGTAACGAAACGCCTCCCTTCCTCAGGAACATCTACTATCTTCATGCTTTCTCAAACTTCCAGCAATCACAGTTTCTCTTGGAGTGAATAAGGTGATTTCCTTTCTTAATGTACCAACTTGCTTGCATTCTCATTTGCTTGACATCATTTTCTGATTCTTTATGAAAAATTCTCATGACTCATCTTTACATCTTCTATTGATACTTAAGAATATTTTGTCATTTTCCTTTAATCATTTGTTCACCTTCTCAAATTGTCACACTGGAGAGAAAGTGATTTTCAAAAACTTGGACTGTAGGTCTGTAGTCCCATTGGTTCCTGGTGGCAGTAGAAGCCACAGTGTGTTACAGCTAGTCTGTTCACTAAGACAGGAATGTTTTGCACAAATTTCTCTTTGTTCAGTACACTCACAGTACTGGCACAACTCTCAGAGGTGTTCACCAAAAGGATGGTAAGGTTTACTAATCGAACCATATTGACTTCATCAACCGCATAACTTAACCAGTGTCATTTCAAAAACCCAAGTTTGCCACGTACTACTAATGTCTGTATTCTTCTACCATGAAAACAATTCAACTGGAGTTGGAGACTTTCTTAGGTCTTTAAATGTATTCATTTAAATGTTACGCATTTGCTGTAGTATAATCATTTGTACTTTTGGCCAGAGGAGTAGTCTGTAGGAAATTATTTTTTTCTTCCTACATTTTTATCACCAGGTGGGTTAACCAATCTTCAAATGCTTTAAGTATCTTTACCTCACTATTACAGAGAAATCTGAGCTGTAAAAAGGCATCTGACTCATTATCCACCAGACCTTCAGTCAGACCTCTTCTTTTACGAACATTCTCAGACGAATCTAATATATTGTAACAGGTACCTAGTGTTAAACAAGCGGGCTGGCTTTAAAGAAACAGATTAACAGCATTATAAAGAAAAAATGAAAATATCACTCTCTAAATTTTCTCTGCTGTTGGTGTGGTGAACTTTATACTATTCTTTGCAAAAATATAAAGATGCATTACTTGGAATATGGAGGAATACATATTTTAAATTTGCCCAAATAAAATTTTAGGCATTTTCCAGAACTGAAGGGCAATACAGTATATTTAATTTATAAGGGGCATGTTTTCATGGCATCACGTGAAAACGCTTGTTAATACTGATTAGGAAATATAATTTTGATTTTAAGAGATGATTTGGAAAAACTGAAAATAAATATTCCAAAATTGCATCTGTATAATATCAAGTCAGTTTTAGCACTGCATGTTCTTTTGGGAATTATGTGAAAATAATTCAATGTGTTTGTACTTCCATGTGCTGTGTCTGTGTTTCCAGGTATATATTTAATGTCCTTGTAAATGTCTGATCCCCAAGTATATGTTAATGAACCAATCTACTGTAATCACTTTTTGTAGTGTCAAGTTTTATTCAAGCTAAATGTTTCAACTTTCAGAGGTAAAACCTTTCCTAGCCATTCAGGGGGATGCTAGCCTAATCATATAGAATGCTTCATAATTTTTCCAAAAGTGAGTAAATTAATTTTATAACATTGTTTCATTTACCCCCCAAAAAAAAAGATTTGGAAGGAATTGATATGCCATGGGAGGAATCCTTGAACTCAGAATGACTCCTCTACGTGTACTCTGTTTCCCACTGCAGGGGCCTGTGTCACCCTAGACCTTTAAAGGTCTTTTATCCATCCATGGGAATGTAGAATAATTCATGAATGAGGTTTACAAGCTTGTCAGCTTGGAAACAACTCTATATGGCTTAGGGCAGGGCTGTCTTTCATGCCCACATAAAAATTAATGATCATCATGAATGACAGTTGCAGGTCAGTTTGCTGTGATGCTAACAATTGTGAGTCCACCTCATAGGCCCATTTTTTCATCATCTGTCAACTTCCCTACCCTCCAGCAAAGAATAAAAATTGAGCTAATGGATTGAATCCATTGGTTCTTCTATCTCCTACTGTTCATCACAGTCTGCATCTGCAGTGTTATTTTGGAAGCCAATTCATTTTGTCTCAGTCTACATACATCCTTTTACCCATTTGGAGTGACTCACCTGCTTATGTTGTCCCTCAGTACTGAATCTGCTTCCCAGTAGCCTTCAAAGTCTTTGACTATTTTGTTCCAGATAGCCTTGTCCTAAGCTGTGTGATGCATTTTAGCTATACTGTTTCCAGTGAATTTTGTATCCCCCTGGATTGCTTGCCTTAGCTTGGTCTGTGGTTTGGGAGACTAGGCTGGGTAGCAGACACTGCTACTGCTTTTGGTCTCTCCAGGGCCTTAACTCCTACAATGCCTAACACAACTGAGGAAATTTTTTTCAAAAAACGATTGTTTTATTTTTAACGTAGTTATTTCTTCTAGGAATATATTTTCATGTGACATTATTTCTTCTCCAAGGAAAATATTTGGCAATTAGTTTAGCCACCGAGTTTGTCCCTTGGTTGATAAGGGAACTGCCTGACTCCTTTTGTAAGTTCTCGATGTGAATGGCAACCTTATTTTGGTTAGGGTCACCCTGACCCTGCTACCTGGAGAAATAATATGAGAAAATGGAACATCAAAAGGAATGGAAGGTATTCTAAAGAACTTCTAGTCCAAGTACGGCAAGGAAGGTGCACCTAAAGGGGGAGAAGATAGTACACCCCTTAAGGCCCTCCACTACTCGGGTTTTAAAAAGTTGGATTTTTGAGTGGAGAATCAAGGGTCAGGTTGACTCCCTTGACGTAGGACTTCCACTTCTCCACATAGCTGATTTATACTCACTGATCAGTTGCCCTATCATGCCCCATCCTGATCATAGCATGTGATAGTGTTTAGAGGACAAAGAAGAATCTACAGATTTCTTAGGGAGATTTCTGTGGTTTCTTTTCTAAAAAGATGATGAATAAGAAAAACAGGAGTCAGTTGACTCATAGATACATGATCTACCGAAAAGAAAATTAACTTCAATATTATAGAGAGGAAACATGTTTCTTTAAGTAAAGGAAAAGTACTTTCATAACAGTCTTTCAAAACAATGTATCTTCAGCCTTTGTCGTAATTAACAACCAAAAAACAGTTGATGCATTCATTCAACATGTCCTGAGCATCTGCTGTGCGCCAGACACTGGGCTAGGTGCTAGAGATAGAAAGTTAAATAAAATGTCCCTGTTTTCATGTCCCTTCTGTCCCTCACAGACTAGAAGGGATCTTAGTGAGCTAAGCCTCTGCTGTCCTAGTGGTAAAAGTTCTTAAAAGAACCCTGGAGCAATCCAAAAGCAAAAAGCAAGTCTGAATCTATTCAGCTGACAAATGAATAAAGGATTCAAAATTGGTTATTGTGTCACTTTTTCTTTCCCTGCATGTGAATAAAACTTGGCAGCTTTGTTAAAACAATTGTTTTATTCTCATAACAAAATTTACTACTTGATTTATTTTTGAAAATGCTGAACAGGTGGTTTTACATTATTATTAAGATAAAACTTTTAACTCTGTGTATTTTAAATCTTTCAGAATCCGAATCTTGAACTGCCTATGTTATTGTCCTACAAGCATATTGACAGTGGTTACAGCTAAAAGAAAGCATGAAGAAGCAACTACAAAAAGTTATCATCTCAGGATACTTGATATGCAACAAACTAAACCACTATCTTATGTCTAAGGTTCAGAGTAAATGTCCACTAAGATACCAAATGACTCTTTTAAGCATTTACAGTTATTGTAAGTAGCCGTTATGGCCAAAGCTCTAAGTTATGAATTATATGAAGGTTGAAAGCAAGAATATTTAGAATTTCTGGCTTTAGATAGAATAAAATAACTACCAAATGGGTGCTCTTTTAACCCATGAACTCTGAATGGATTTAAATACAATAGTATAAAGTAGAAGTCATGCAATGGGAATGAATAGATTTTGCTAATATTACTTTTTTTGCCTGGCAGAAGAAATAGGCAATTTAGATCACATTTCTTGTTCCTGCTGAATGATAATGTTAAATTATTTTTTTCAACATGTGAAAGGAATACTTGAAAATATAAGAGGACTAAATCAGTGCATCAGATAGTAGTTAATCCTTTCTGTTCACCCACATGCTAATTTTGTCTTGATAGAATATCCTTGCCAAAAAATAACTTGAAAGGTGGAAAGAATGTTAACCCTGGGTATTTTTGCAAAAATCAAAAGAAATTATTTATTTTTGTTCTTCTGGATTACACTTAATGAGTGTAAGGCTACTGGATTTGAAAAGAAAGCATTTCCAATCAGGAGCTCCTCAAAATAGTTAAGATATAATAGATTTTTCCAATATTAGTTTTACTGGGATCTGAGGCAAGATGGGCAGAACCACAGTTACATAAAAATAAAGGCCATTCTGAACATCAGTCTTTTATCATTTTTCTGTGGAGAGGAAGGAAGAATAGCTTAATTTCAAACTGTTAATGGTTTTTATTTGAAAGAGGTTGCATCTGTGCATATATGCAGCACTTTTTTTTTTTTTAACTTGCCGATTTGGGAGGAGGAAGGGTCCCTGGCACAACTCTGAACATGAATGTTGTCTCTCTCAGCAAACTTGGCTAGAGTAATGGTCTAACTCTAAACCACGAGATTCACCTTGGTAAAGTCCTTGACTTACTGGACTAGAGGGAGGTTTTAACCTCCTAAGGAGTTCACCTAAAACATATAAATGTGGTGTGTCTTTATTAAATGTTAAAATTAAACACACGCTTTTTTTGGGTATAAGTGACTACATTTGACTACTAGATTGAAATGGTCTTTTAAAAGGTATCTTCTTACCAGTTTCCATTCTTGGTTGTCTTCCTGGCATGCCTGTACTATTAGTGTTTCTATTGTACCTTGATTTGGAGAAGTAAGTATTAGATTCAATCTATACCAGTGTATTTATAAAGTCCATATGGCACATTTGATTCTTCCATTTATATTTTGTGTTAATGTTTAGGTGTAATTTTTCTTAAATTTTAGAAAGGACATAATTTCAGTTGTCAGAAACCATTCCATCATTACTGACCCTTTTTCATTATTTCATTTGTTCTCATATATCAGTATTATTTTTGAGTATTTTGTTAGGTGGCGTCACACCTTCCTAAGTGTGCTGTGTTCCAGTAGCCTAGTATTTGGGGCAGTCTGCTGAAAACCAAGTCAATATATTCTTTACCTATTCCAAAGAGCTAAAAAATCAGACCCAGGAAAGTTTTCGATGTTTTGTTGTTGTTCTTGTTTTTATAGTTGTTGCTGTATTGTTATTGTTGTTTTACATAAGAATTATAAGGACTGTGAATACAAAGAGCCGACCTTAATTAGAGAGGCTTGTTTAATGCAGACCATGGAGATTTGACATGATCAGAATATCTAGGGTAGTGGAAATATAACTGGTGGCATGTGAAATTCCTTGCATCCTGGAAGAAAGACAAGGGGGATTTAGAGTTGTGTCTAATAAGCTACACATTACACTGCAGCTCAGATTCATGATGGCAGTGATGTGTAATATCATGGCCTAGATCCTTGGGAGAGGGACCTGACTTTATTTTTTGAAAGATATTTTATTAGTGAGCAAAACAATTGGTTAGCGTGGGGTTAGCAGATGGAATAACTTGAAGTAAGCCATCCAGTATTCCTATCACTACAATCTAACCACCTTATTTTGTGTCAGAGAAGGGGGTAAAATGTAATAATAGGATCATATACCCATTATTTGAATAATTTCGAACTACAAAACGTCCTTGTAGTTTTCACAGCTGTCCTCCACTGTTTGAGGATGTTACCTACGAAACTGAAAACATAAATTCCATATCTACCACATTTACACCAGCAACAGTATAAAATACAAGCCTAAATTTGCAAAATCCATAATAATTTAGTGATGGAATTTTTTTAATAACATGCAGTATATAAATGTAGATTTTATGCAAGTGTTGACAAAATCATTTTTCAGCTTGCAAAATGGGACTGCAATATTACATTTTTCACTTCAGCAATTTTTTACATCGTTTTTGCTTTCTATAATGAATGTGAATGCCATCTTTTATGAATGCAACTTGCCTTTTTCATTACAGAAATTTTGTTTGATGTAATCAATAAACTTTGGTATGATATGATTGATATTTTTAGCCTCTTTTTTGGGAAGGTCTGTCTGACGTAAAAGTAATATGGAAGCAATTTGGTGATGGGCAATACGTTTCTAATTTCCTCTTTGCCTGTACAATTCACAAATGACTGACCATTTCTGCATACGTTCAACTAGCACTTGAGGACAATACCTAATTTGGGGAGTTTCCGATATTTGTGGGAGTTTTGAATAAGGCTGTATCTGGTTGCTGCATACGTAAAAGTCCAGCCAAATCAGCAAATACGTATTGAAAGTCTGCTGTGTGCTTGGCAGTGCTCACTCATTGGAGGTTGTACAATATATGGTCCCTGTCTGCATCCCATTGAAATCATTTGATTCTTAAGTGCCCAGAGATACAGAGATTTTACGGTAGTGTGTGTTTACGCCAAAGGTGTGTGTGTTTACACCAAAGGTGTGTGCGTACACCTTTCTGTCCCTTGCTCCCCTTCCCCTACACCTCTCTCCCCCTCTCCCCATCCCCCTTCCTTCCCTGTGTCGTTGCTCAGCCTGCATCTAAGGCCTTGTGAAAGTCCTTTTCCTTGAAAAACCCTGCCCTCCTTGACTTCTAAGAAACTAAAGTCTCCACTGTAGCTGGTTTCATTACGTTTTTACACTTCAGTCTCTATATTTTTGTAGTCTTTTAATCCTGTTAGTCTTTGACCTACATTTAGAGCATTTCCTCTTTTTTTGTTGTTGTAAAGTGGGAAATGTGCTATATTTGGAGGTAAGACCTGAGTTAAGTTTCAGCTTTGCCACTTGGAGCCATTCCCCTCTCAGTCCTCTTCTCGCCTATAAAATGGTGTCTTGGGGGTGAAGGGTGAGCAAATGAGGTAAAATATCATAATTGCTTTGTAAAATGTCATTTGCTAGTCAGCTGAATGCATTGCTATTTTTCTGTTAAGGGGTTTTGTTGTTGCTTTGACATTTTCAATGAATAGTTGTCATTTACCAAATTTTCATAGATATGTCTTAGATTCTTTCTACCTTCTTGGAATTAGTCTGTTCAGGTTTCCTTCCCTTCCCCCATCCAGCCTATTAAGACGCTGCCTCACCGTGGAGTCTGCCCAGGATTGGCCAATAAAGTAAGTATTGTGAGGGGCTGAGTGGTTTGGCCCCTTCAACAAGAAGCACATGCAAAGGTTAGGGGCTGAGGTTATCACTATGGTTATTCAGTGAATGTGTCCGCAGCTGAAGTGCTGGATGCATACTAATGAAGCTTGAAAGCCTGAGTTCTGGGAATAGTTGTCAGGAAAATGGGGGGCTTAATTATTTCACAACATTTTTTAATTAATTTGACACGTATTTCCCAGCAACTGACGGGTAAGGAAATGTGGCCTCAGTTCCTAGTACGTGGACCTATTGTGGACCAAGCAAGTCCTCATCTCATGGGCTTAGGAGCAAGTGCTATGAGCAGGCCTCTGGCTGAAAGAACAGTGCACCTCTTGGTGGAGCAGAATGCCTGCTAGCCAAAGGTCTTTGGCCCTGGCTCTTTGGGTGGAGAGGGGCAATGGATGTTCATAGCTAAAATGCCTGCTGCTTCTTTGATCTCTTCATCAATTTGTTAGGACATATTTCCTACCAGTAAAGCCACTAAAATCCCAACTCCTCATATAAGCTAACACTTAGATAGCATTTACTGTGTGCCAGGCACTGTTCCAATAACTTTACATATATTCGCTCCTTTAATAATCCCGACAACCCTATGAAATAGGTATTAACGTTTCTCCATCTGACAGATAAGGAAACTGAGTCACCAGCCAAGGTCACACAGTCTGGTAGAACCAGAATTTAAACCCAGTTCTTCTGACTAGGGTCCAGGCACTTAACCAGGACACTGCATTTCCATCATTATATCACCTTTGATGGCCTGAATAAATAATCACAACATTAATGCAAAATGTTAATGTCAGCTATGAGACAGCATCAGACAGATCCAAACTGAGGGATATTCTACACTTTAACTGGCTTGTAATCTTCAAAATTATTAACATGATTAAAGATGAAGACCCAGAAACTCCCAGATCAAGGAAATCAAGATGACATAACAAGTGCAGCGTATGGTCCTCAGTTGGATCCTGGACCAGAAATTGGACATTAGTGGAGTAATTGATGAAGTTTGACTGTGGTATATAGGTTATATCAATGTTAATTTCCTGATTTTTGAAATTGTGCTGTGATGATATTTGGGGGGATCTGAGTGGAGAGTATATGGGAATTCTTTGTACTGTTTTTGCAACTTAAGTCTGAAATTATTTCAAAATTATAATTTGAAAAGTAAAGCTAAAACATAATGAAGCATACAAATATTAATGGGAGAGGGCATTAAATTGAGCTGACTATAGAAGACTAAAATATAATTTATTAACAAATATCTGCATAGCACTTTACAGAATGCTTTTGCATACCTCATTTAATCTTCACAACAGCTCTATGTAGAGATCATTAAATTCCAGATTCTTTTTTTTTTTTGCGGTACGCGGGCCTCTCACTGCTGTGGCCTCTCCCGTTGCAGAGCACAGGCTCAGGACGCGCAGGCTCAGCGGCCATGGCTCACGGGCCGAGCCGCTCCATGGCATGCGGGATCCTCCCGGACCAGGGCGTGAACCCGTGTCCCCTGCATCGGCAGGCGGACTCTCAACCACTGCGCCACCAGGGAAGCCCTCCAGATTCTTAAAGATAAAGAAACTGGGGCTCAGGACTTCCCTGGCAGTCCAGTGGTTAAGACTCTGCGCTTTCACTGCAGGGGGCATGGGTTCCATCCCTGGTCAGAGAACTAAGATCCCACATGCCACGCAGCCAAAAAAACTAAACGAACAAAAAAAGAGAAAAAGAAACTGGGGCTTAGATAAGTTAATTATCTTGTCCCTGGTCCCTCAGGACTGAACCTAGGTCTGATCCACATGTTTCCCCCTACACTGCACTGCGGTTTGTCTAGGATTCCTAAAGCATGTCCTGCTGGAGTCTACAATCATTTAAAAGAAAATCTTTCTGCAGTCATTTTTCCTGTAGGTTCATCTGGATACGTCGGTCTACCCCAGGTCAAACCATGAATGAGACTCATGCCAATGCCCTTAAGGTTGAGGTGGGTTCCCTCAGAATGCCCTAGGCCCAGGTTTTCCCTTCCATCTAATTTGATGTTGAACTAGGTTTCCCTCATGTTTTTCAGGTGGTTCCCGAGGCAAGTTTTATCCTCCTAAACCAGCTTCCCCCCATCTGAGTGAGAACACAAATAAGCTCCTTCAATTGAATAACGAGGCGTCAGGCTAGCCACCTGGTGTCTAAAATATGTACATCGCTTAAAGTAAGAATGTGGGAATGTTGCCGGCAATCTCCATCTCAAATTATTCTACCCCCCTCCTAGCAAAAGTATGCTGAGATGATTGTTGTTTAGTATTTCCCAAACTGGGTTGTATGAAGCATTAAGAGTCCTGGGAAATGTTATTAGAAAGTCCTTGAAAAAGGGGGTTCCCTGGTTAACTAACTTTGGGAAGTTCTGTGTATGATTGCCCTAAGTTACAATGCATACTAGAACACTAAACTCTATGAGAGATCTAATATTAAACCCATTTGACTTCTTTTAACCCACTATGTTCCAAACACTGGACCAAGGAAACCTTTTTGCATAGATCACCTAATAACAAATCGTCGGACCCCAGTTTTCCATGGAACACTCTTTCTTCCCCACTCAGGTGATGGAGTTCATTTTCGTGATCTGAGAAAGATGTAAATGAAGACAGTTTTCAAGGCAAAAGCCTCAAACTCCAAAGTAGAAAACAGAGACCATTCCATGTATTTTAAGTGGAGGGAACTTAAAACGGGGAATTGATTACACATGTGATGGCAGAGGGGCACAACCAACTGGGGCTCTTTGTAAAGCAGCCCAGAGATTAGAAAGAGTAGGAGGCCAGAACCACTCAGGCTGAGGGGACAAAAAGAAGGTGGCGATCCTGGATGCTGTGGCCTGGTCACTTGGCAGAAATAGGAATCATGGTGGACCTACCTGGAGCGGCTGGAACAACAGCAGACTCAGCCACTGTTAAAGATGCAACCTGAGGTACAGACACCCTGGCTTCTCCCGCCTGCCCCCAAGCCTCCAGCCAGTGCCTGTCACTGGCTGGACCCAGGTGGAAGCCAGCCATCTTGGGAAACAGCTTGAAGGGAGTCACTCCCCATCATCACAGAATAGAGCAGAGCTGGGAAGTGCGAGCAATGCATCTAATCTGAACTCACTTCTGTAATATATTTAGTGTGATACATACAGATGATAACTTTTATGGATGTATAGCTTAATGGAAGTAGAAGGCCCTTGTATAATAGTCTTCTCAATGAGTAATAATAGACACTTAAGATTAAACACTAGAGCAAAATGAAGGAGTAAGCATATCTAGGTAAATTCACCTACATCATATTCAAAATTTAAAATTCACAAGGGTCTGGATAAAATTGCAATATTAATTGCAAAGGGAATAATTTTCCCTCTTCATGTTCCTGCCTCCACCCATAAAATAGGAACTCTCATCCTCCCTGAAGCATGTGGAGCGAGGTTTCTGCCCCTCTCTCCACCCACTCAAGTACTAATGGGTGAGCCTGGAGAAGGGTTTATTCCATGTGTGTGCGTGCACACACGTGTGTGTGTTTCAGCCTGCTCTGCCCCTTCTCTTTTAGAGCTGCCAGCTTCGAGTCTGCTGGTGTTCTTTTCTCCATCCCTGGATCTTCTGTGCAGTGAGCTCACTGGGGACAGGGAACCATACTGGAAGGGTGAAGGGGTGGTTTCAGTTTTCCAGCCACTGAAGTCTTTGACTACAATGGATAAATTCAATTCAGGTATGTCATTTCCACTGCAAGCTAAGCCAAGTTTTAAAATGCAACTTTGCAAATAATAGACGGCTATCTTGTCTGCTTCAGGCACTTCTGTGTTCTTAATGCCTAGAGCAATTCTGGGACCATAGATGCTATTTAACAAACACGTCATAAATGAGCAAGTGCATTTTATCTGATTGATGCCTGAGCCTATTTCTCAACTGGCTTGAACTCCCAAGGGAGAGAGAGATGACAAGATGGGGGAGGAGTGTTGTTTGCATTTTCCCCTTTACGTTCTCCATATTCAAACAGATAGCCAGCTCATTACCTTAAGAAGTATATAGTACCAGGAAAACATGAAACAGCCTGCACAGCTTTTGGCTGTGTTGCAAAGGCAAATCATTAAGAAGACTGTAGAAGGTTTGCAGAGAAGAGGGCAAAGGGGAGTCATGGGCAGAGAGTGTCTTGGGGAGGAGAAATGAGGAGGGGGCCTTTGAGTGCAAAGAGCAGGCAGAACCTATGTTCTTCTGCAGAACAGCACCTACAGGGTAACAGCAGGAACAGAGAGGACAACAGCTGGGTGCCTCTAGGGAGACAGGATCCTAGCCAGCCAGCCTTGGCAGAGACTTCCAAGCCTCCACATGGCAAGAGCCAGGAGAGCTGCTGGCTGTGGGAGACACTATGTAGATTGGGATGATGGACCTCTCAGGTATAAGTGTGGATGATGACTGAGGACCAGACAGGTGCCCTTGTCCGTCTCCAACACCTTGACACAGCATTAGCTCCAACAATCGTAGAACAGCCCTGAGGAGGGGGACCCATGGAAGGACAATTTGCATTCATTCATTCATTTGCTCACTCATTCATTTATTTAGGCATCCTGGCAGGAGGGGGACTAGACAGGGTTAGAAATTGAATTTACTTTTCAAATATATTTGTTGAACGCCTCCTCCTGCATTTGCTACATTTCCTTAACAGTTGCCTTTCACATTGTTTTAAAGCATTATGTCTTTCATCCTGCACTGTCAGTTTCTACATAATTAGATTTTCCAGATAACAGCAAGTTCCTCATTTAAGCATCAAAACTTTTTCCTTAGTGGAAATCTTTTTACAATGTGCTGCACTCTTCTCTTCCATATGCAGAGGCACCGGCTACCACGTCACCTTCTCCTGATGACACTGGGTCATTTCTGGAGTTCCAGCACAGTGCTGGGCAGGAAGTGCTGTGGTTCCCACGTTTGTGCGCCTCCGCATTGCATGGCTTTAAGAGGATATCGGATTTCTTTCTATAGTCCTGGCACCTCCCTTGAAGCTCTCACCATCAGCTATTAGTTTTTTATGTTTTGTTTTGCTTTTGCGGTACGTGGGCCTCTCACTGCTGTGGCCTCTCCCGTTGAGGAGCACAGGCTCCGGACACGCAGCCTCAGTGGCCATGGCTCACGGGCCCAGCCGCTCCGCGGCATGTGGGATCTTCCCGGACCGGGGCACGAACCCATGTCCCCTGCATTGGCAGGCGGACTCTCAACCACTGCGCCACCAGGGAAGCCCAGCTATTAGTTTTGCTGTGTGTATAGGTCCACATCTACTCTCTACCTCTTAACTTCCCCCACCGGTTTCTTTTTAAATTATAACATGTAACCGACTAGAGGGCTTCCCTGGTGGTGCAGTGGTTAAGAATCCGCCTGCTTAATGCAGGGGACACGGGTTCGAGCCCTGGTCCTGGAAGGTCCCACATGCCGCGGAGCAACTAAGGCAGTGCACCACAACTACTGAGCCTGCTCTCTAGAGCCCGCGAGCCACAACTACGGATCCCACGTTCCACAACTACTGAAGCCCACGTGCCTAGAGCCCGTGCTCCACAACAAGAGAAGGCACCACAATGAGAAGCCCGCGCACCGCAACGAAGAGTAGCCCCTGCTCACCGCAACTAGAGAATGTCCACGTGCAGCAACGAAGACCCAACGCAACCAAAAATAAAAAATAAGTAAAATAAATAAATTTATTTTTTTTAAAAATGTCAGAGTCAGATCTCATGTTTTTAGTACAGTTCAGCAGGATGTGTATTCGTGGGAGAACTTCCACTCAGACTTCTCCAATAATTAAACTCATGTGAGCCATCACAGGACAGATGGTTGTGCTATTTAAAACAAATTATAACCTTTAAGGATGAACATGTACTATTGAAATCTAAATATAAATTTGCTTTGAATTTTAATTGAGTAGTACTATTGTTTAACAGGTAAAATTGATGTGAAGACTTCAGAAAGTGTTTTTTTTTAATTTTTATTTACTTATTTATTATTTTTGGCTGTGTTGGGTCTTCGTTTCTGTGCGAGGGCTTTCTCTAGTTGCGGTGAGCGGGGGCTACTCTCCATCGCGGTGCGCAGGCCTCTCACTGTTGTGGCCTCTCGTTGCGGAGCACAGGCTCCAGACACGCAGGCTCAGTAGTTGTGGCTCACGGGTCTAGTTGCTCCGCAGCATGTGGAATCTTCCCAGACCAGGGCTCGAACCCGTGTCCCCTGCATTGGCAGGCAGATTCTCAACCATTACGCCACCAGCGAAGCCCCAGAAAGTGTTTTTTTAATAAAGTAAGAATACCTCTTAAATGACAAAAATATTAGGCAAAAATTCTTTATGTAATTTGTCAATATTCCTGGAAGCCTTTGAAAAGCCTTTTTCTGACATTTAAATTATCTGTTCTATTGAATAATTTTGGAACCAGAAAGGGATGACAGATTTTTATCTTGTTTTCTTTTCATGCCTTAAAGTTGGCCTGTATATAAAATTTAAATAGCAATTTTAACTTTGTTGTCAATCACTGAAGTGTCATCAAGGGCTGTGAGTAACAATGACCCTCCTTTTGGTTATAAGAAATCTGACCATTTGATTGAAAACAGTGTCTAATCCAATGTTTAGATTTCAGTGGGTTTTTTTTTTCACTTTGATTATCCTTGTGGTATTTAAAATGCAATTTTGTCTATTTGGAATTTTTCATGATAGAGGTATGAAAGAACACGTCGTGCAAATGTAACCTGTTAACCTTATTTCATGACTAGTTTGATATTGAAAGCCAAGACATATTTTTTCACACTTATTAAAAAACTGTTGCCAGTGGGAAACGAGTATACTTTAAGGCTTAGTAAAAAAAATACTCAAAATTATAAACAGTAGGATCATGGTTCTGAAGAACCTAGGGGCAAGACAGGAATAAAGACGCAGACCTACTAGAGAATGGACTTGAGGACATGGGGAGGGGGAAGGGTAAGCTGGGACAAAGTGAGAGAGTGGCATGGACATATATACACTACCAAACGTAAAATAGATAGCTAGTGGCAAGCAGCCGCATAGCACAGGGAGATCAGCTCGGTGCTTTGTGACCACCTAGAGGGGTGGGATAAGGAGGGTGGGAGGGAGGGAGACGCAAGAGGGAAGAAATATGGGAACATATGTATATGTGTAACTGATTCACTTTGTTATACAGCAGAAACTAACACAACAATGTAAAGCAATTATACTCCAATAAAGATGTTAATAAATAAATAAGAACAGTATGATCTCACAATGACTGGGGGAATGTCATAAAATTAACCATGGTGGCCACCGGATGATGTCATTAATGCTGGGTTTTGCTTTTCTGTTTTTTTATGCTTTTCCATAGTTTGCAAATCTTCCACAATGAGCATGTATACTCTCATAATAAAAAAAAAAGCAAACACAAAAAATAACAAATAAATCAAAGTTATTCTCCAAGAATAAAAGTGTCCCATTTCTGAGGTAAGAGCTTTAATCTGAAGTCCCGTTTTAACTGTCAGTGAAGCCTTTCTGTTTGAATACTGAAATACACATTGTGGATCCATAAAAGCTGCTCATTTGTGCAAAACATGGTGCAACTGAAGTGCTATGCAGAACACCAGGGCTGTGATATTTCTGTTCACTTGCACGTTTATTTTCAAACACAGCAAGCTTACATGATACAGTAACTGAGGACAGCTTGCCTGCAAATTACAGTGATGTGAGTGATGCACTTGGAGTGTCTCTCACCGTCCATCTTCTCTCTACCCTTCTCCAGCTTCCATACGGCAGCAGGCAGTGTGGTGCTGTTCTAGTTCCATTCTCTGTGCCCTGGTTTGAGAATACGATGATACTACAATGCCAGTGAATGTTCATTGTGAGTTTGAGAAAAAGAGGTGACAAAAATTTAAAAGCATGATCCTAGATATCCTAAAAGAATATTTATAAGATGACAAATTAATGAGTAACTTTGTACTTTCAGCACAAGAAACAAACCAAGAAGCCAATAAAACCCATAAAACTATTTGTTCAAATGGAGAAAAATATCTACCATGATTGTATTGTAAGAATAATTTTGGAAAGATAATTTTAGAAGATTATCGCATTTCAGGCAAAAATCCATTTGGGTTGACCTGATGTTTTCCTAATTTAATAAGAGTATTATTTTTTCTGATTATATATGATGATGCATTGTCAAAATTAAGCAATACCTAATAGGATGTCATGTAATATCCCACCACACTCCTGTTAACCATGTTCTTCAGACTCTCTCTATGCAGACGTACACACATAGCATGGATATACAACACACACACACACACATATATGTATGTATAATTTTGTATAAATTGAACCATGATATACACACTGTTTTATGTGTGTGTATGTATATATATATATTTTTTTAACCAAAAAAAGCCATGAAGACCTTTTCACATTATTTTACTGATTTCGTGTACATGCATTATTTTACCATTGCCTGCTTAATGGCTATTTAGCTTTCTCCTTTTCCTCCTCCTGCCTGCTACTGTGAATGACGTGTCAATGCACCCTCAACCAAAATATTTGCACACTTACCGCATTAACTTCTGGTATAAAATCAAAGATGAGGAATTCCTGGGGCAAAGGATGTGCACATTTAAAATCCTGATGTGGGGAATTCCCTGGTGGTTCAGTGCTTAGGACTCCTTGCTCCCACTTCACGGGGCACAGGTTTGATCCCTGGTCTGGGAACTAAGATCCTGCATGCCCCGTAGCACGGCCAAAAAAAAAAAAAGACGTTGAAGACTATGTGACAGAAACTGTATGCTGTATGTGGCCCACAACATGGAAACTTCTACTATCTAGATCTTTACAGAAGAAGTTTGTCAACCATTGGTTTAGAGGAAAAATAGTGCTTTATTCTTGGTAGTATTTGCTTTGCTTTTGTGTGAGTTTAAGTATTTTAAACACGTAGGTGTTTGTATTTCTTCTTTTGGCAATTACATTTCCTTTGCCCATTTTCCTATTCAGTTGCTCATCTTTTTTTTCCTTACTTGTAAGAACTCTTTGTATATTAGGAAAACGTACATTTTGTCACATATTTTGCGAGTATTTTTTTCTCTGTGTCCAATTACCATTACGTCAGGCATTTTTTTACATTACAAAGGAAGTTTTAATGAGCAGGTAATCAATGCAAGTGTTCAGAGAATGACAGCGTGCTACTTTAGATATGGTAGTGAAAGAGGTTCTCTCTGACATGGTGACGTTTGAGCGGAGAATTGAAATAAGCAAGAGAGAGATATGTGGATGAACTTATGAGGGTTATCCTGGCACTGGGAACAGCAAATGCACAGACGCTGAGATAGCAGCTTACATGGCATATTGGAGGTACTGCCAGGAGATTGGTGTGACCAAAATGGAGGGAGAGTGGTAAGAGTTGAAATTACAGATGTAGGGAGGGAGAAGATGATATAGAACCTTGTAGCCATGGCAAGGACATTGGATTTTATTGTAATTGCGATGGAAGTTTGGAGCATTATGACCAGAGTGACATGATCTGACTTAAGTTTTAAAAGGATCCCTTGAGTCTAATTTTGTTGTCTATTTTAAAATATTTTTTATATTCCTTATTATAAATTAAATATATGTCCATCTTCAAATATATAGATAATATAGAAAAGAATAAAGAACCAAGTGTAAGGGTAGTAGTATTTTAATAAGCCTTTAGGGATATATATAATCTTAAGATTGGGAAGTACCTTAAAGATCTGCTGCTCCAGCCCCCTGTATATTTTGAACAAAAATATTTTGCTTTGATTTCTTTATACTAACAATGAAATATCAGAAAGGGAAAGTAAAAAAAAAAAATCCCTTTTAAAATCACATCAAGAAATAAAATACTTAGGAATAAACCCAAGCAAGGAGGTGAAAGACTTAAACACTGAGAACTATAAAACATTGATAAAGGAAACTGAAGATGATTTAAAGAAATGGAAAGATATCCCATGCTCCTGGATTGGAAGAATTAAATTGTTAAAATGGCCATCCTACCCAAAGCAATCTACAGATTTAATGCAATCCCTATCAAATTACCCATGACATTTTTCACAGAACTAGAACAAATAATCCTAAAATTTATATGGAATCACAAA